CAGAAAGTCTTCCTTGTCTAATTCTATTTCTATTCTAATTGCTTCTTTGTTCTTTCTTCTTAGCACTTTGCAACTCAGCCCTGGGTCCACGTACCTTGCTTAATACTACAAACATTCTGAGAAATATAACTCACAGGGTAGTGACATGTGATGCATCCCAGGCCATCTGGAAGAGTTAGAGAAGTTTAACACCTGCTTCTTACCCATTTTATATTTATTACCTAATGGCAGCCACTGGCTTTATCACAGTTCTTTTAAGAGGTGGCATAATATCTCATGGAATGTACATTCCATCATTTATGCAATCATTTCTCCATTTTAGGACCTCACTTTATATGTCATATTTTTATAGGTCACCTAAAGTACCTCAATAAGCTATGGTGCATTACTTTATATACCAGCATTCTAGACTTACATATCCAATTACTTAATGTTTCCACCAGCGTATCTAAGTCTTCTGAATTGTAACAAGGCTGTCATGGAAAGCTTTATCTTCACTCATATTACTTTATCACAAACTGTGTGGCTTGAAAACACAGAGATTTATTCTTCCATGGTTCTGGAGGTTAGATGCCGGAAGTCGAAATGTCAGCAGCACTGATTCCTCCTAAGGACTGTGAAGGAGTCTGTCCCATGTGCCTCTCCTTACTTTGGTGGCAGGAAGCAAGCGTTGGTACTCCTTGACGTGTAGACATGTCACTCTGGTTTCTGCCTCTGTGTCTATGTCTTCACCTGGCTTGTGTCTGGCTTGTACGTCTGTTTCTGCATCCAAAGTTCCCTCTTCTTCTTAGGACAAGAGCCCCATTGGGCTAAGAGCTTATCCCATTCCTGGATGACCTCATCTTACCTTAGCTAACTATATCTATGGCAGTTTTATTTCCAAGTGAAATCACGTTATGAGGTAGTATGGGCTAGAATTTCAACATAATTTTTTTGGGGACCCACAGTCTAACCCATGAGGTCATTCTTCCTTATGTCACTGAGTCTGCTCCTTCTCTGGTCTCCTCCGCCTATCTACATGGCACTGATAGAAGCTCAAGCCAAGAATCCACGTATAATCTGTGATTCTTCTGCTTTTGTTGACCCATCCCCCATTCCTTCAGTGCATCTTTTCAACCTCACTTCCAAAACTACCCCAAATACATCCATATTCTTCATCTCCATTTCTATCATTCCACTGATGCTACCATTACTTTTTTTTAGAGCAGAATATATTTATTGAGAGAAAAAAGGCTTCTGTCTGAAAGAGAGACAGAAGGGGTCCCGAGTGGGTTGACAGAGACTTCTTTTCTACGGACTTTTATAGAGCAAAACCATAAAGTGAGGTAGGCCTAAGGTGGGGAAAATATAGGAACTAGCAAGGTGGGCATGAGGTGGGACAGAATTGTGGCCAACCAATGAGATAACTGCTCAGGTAAAATTGACTAAATTGGGGACAAATTGGGAAGTCAATCACATAGCAAAAGCGGGCATGCTTAAAGAGCAGCTTGGAGGTTGGGATGGTGACTCCTGGCTTCCTTAGTGTGAGAGACCTATTTAGAATATCAGTCCTTAGGATGTGGGGGTATTTGTTTGATCTTTTATCTTGAGGTCTGGCCCACAGAGGGAAGTGTCTGTCTCCTCCAAGGTTGCAAAGTATCCGGCCTTCTGTGCTGGCTCCTTTGAGGGTCTAGTCCTGTCTGCCTATAATATTTATATCTAACTCAGCTGCCTATAACAATCCCCTCTCTGAAGAAGTAACCCAAACCACCTTGAAAGAGTAATAGGTGGTGACTGGTCTGGTTTCTTCAGACTGCTACTGTCACTTCTTACTGGGACAGTTGCACTAGTTTGTCTCACTAGGTTGCCCAGGCTGACTTCAAACTTGCTGGTGTGCCTATGTCAGCCTCCCAAATTGCTGGAATTACAGGCATGTGCTATCACAGCAAGCTCCCTCACTTGCTTTCTTTGACCCAAGCACACACCAGCTTTCTTGCCTTCCCTGGACCCCTGGGATGTTGAGCTTCACCTTGCTTTTAGGATGCTCTTTCCTGGAGCCAAATATAGCAGCTCCTTCTTGTCATGAGATCCCAGCTTAAACGTTATCTTTCCTGGTGGTATTTGGTAGATGTCCCCTGGCCACCCAATTATTTTCTGTCACAGACCTTCATTTTGTTTTATTTTATTTTTTATGTTTTGTCTTTTTGAGATGGGGTCTCAATATGTGGTTCAGGCTGGCTGTGGGCTCACTTTGTAGCCCAGCCAAACTTGCAATGATCCTCCTACCTCAACCTCCCAAGTGCTGGGATTACAGGAGTGCACCACCACACTGGACTCAGACCTTTATTTTGCAAATAACTTAGTAAATATATTATTTTAAAATTTTATATATATACTTTATTTTTTTTTTTTAGCCCAACAATTAGAATCTCCAAGAGAGCAGAGACATTGATTCCACACATTCCATCTAGAACTGAGTCTGGATGGAAGATTTATTGAGTGAATAGTTCTTTCTAGAAGAGCTCTGTGTCTGAGCTATTTCTTTTCTTCCTTTAGGGAATTTATATAAATAATTGAACAGGAGGAGATTATTGGATCAAGAGATATAAACATGTTTTGACTCTTAAAATATATTGCCAAATTGCTTCATGAAGAGATAAGACTGGTTTTTATTTGTTAGGCAACCTACTGGATTGTCAGTGCCAAGGCAGTGAGTTCTGTCACGGGGAGGAGGGAGGGAGGCGGGAAGTAGGAGTCAGGGAACCAGCAGCTGCTGCCTCGGCAGCAGTCAGCACTCTCTGCAGGCCTGGCAGGAGGGACAAGAGCCAGGCTCAAAGCCTCACTCCCACGGCGGGGCTGAGGGTGGGACACGCATGTGCTGCGGGTGAGCAGAAGAGCTGACAGGTGCACCTGGTGTTTGGCTTGGCGAGGCTTCAGCAAGGTCCCAGTTGTCTAGCTGGGAGGCTGGGAGGGGTTGGCAGCCAGGACACAGAGTAGGACTTGGATTAGAACCTGCATTTTCACAAGCCCTTAAACAGCACTTCTTAAACCTTGACATGACTAGCATGTTCCTGGAGAGCTTGTTAAATGATAAGCTTATAGGCTTTTAGGGTAGGGACTGAAAACCTAAATTTGTTTTTAAAAAGTATGTTTATTACTATGTACGAATTATACAATTAATGGCTTTCCCTGTATCACTTCCATGATTGGTTATGTCACCCCACCTTTTACCTTCCTTTGAGAATCTGTTTCTAATGGGCTCTTGGGTGACGTGGATGCCGGTGGCAGGGTGCTTACTTTGCTGACCACTGCACTGAGGGTGGCAGCCTCCAAGACCAGGGGAGCTGGCGGCCTTGGGGAGGTTGCTTTTGTGTTTTAGATGGTAGCCTTTCTCCAAATTTTTAAGAGCACACCTATGGTATCAGAGCACAAAGATGGTGATAGTTACTAATGCTACGAATGCCTATGCTCAAAATTTTCCAGTTTACAGGTCCTTGACTTCTCTGATCTTATTTCATCTTTGTGTCAGGTCTATAAATTAGGCTGGGAGAAAATTATGACCTGCTTTCTGGGACAGAATGAGGTATGGGGAGCTCTGAGAGCCAGGCCAACTGAGCAACCCTTTCAGGCCTCGGGCCTGCGACTCGCTCCCGCTTTGTCGATGGACACATGGACACCCGGGCAGGCTCAGGAAATTTCCAAAAGCCAGGGCAGCTCCACACAGACAGACAGAGTTCCAGAGAATTAAGCTCCAGGCTTCCGTCAGGAATGTAGCCCTTCTGTCTCATGGTTCCACACCTCACTTCTTCATGTCATTTCTCTACAGTAGAAAGAATGTCCTTCTGTCATTGTCTGTCCTTCTGTCTGTATGTCTGTCTGACCACCCTCCATGGTAGCCGAACAAAAGGTCCATTTTGACTTCCACACAGATCACTATTCGGCCTTTTGTTTTGACTTTAGAGATGAAAGGAGGTGACAAGAGGGTGAATGATGACACATGGCTCCAAGGCCCCAACAGACCCAGGAGACCTTTCTGTGTTCTCCAGCTCTGAACATATCTCCCTTCCCTTCTTCGGTGGCTCTCAGAGAACTAGAGTCCATTCCTGGCTCTAATTTCCTAAGGACTCTGGAAATTTTTTATTCAGGGAAGCAATCCTTCCTCAAGCCCAGTTTCTCTTATCTCAGTTTCAACTGCTTTCCACCTACACTCCCATCACTATCACACACGTGCCACAGACACACATGCATGCACACACACACATGCACACACATCTCTGCACACACACCAACTCCAACCAAACAAAAACTGACTTCTCTCATCAGACACTTCCGATTTCTCTCATGTCAACTTTCAGAAATGCTAGCCCTGGACGTGCCTACGCACCCAGGCTCTGGCCTTTGCTCATCTGCAAGCCCAGCTGGTGGGAGGGGACACCAGGCTGCCAACCCTGAAAGGGGAGCCTGGTGCTGTGCATCTGGCCCACTTCGTACTGAAACCATGGCGACCCTTGCTCCTCCTCACTGGGCCTGGCCCCTCATCTGTGAAATGGGGAGAGGTTGAGTAAATAACCTCAAGGCATCTTTAAATGTCAATATTTTATGATTCAAAGTAGGATATTCATGAGAAAAAAAATTCGATTTTATCATCTATGGTGACATGTAATTAGCCAACCACAAGTTATTTTTCTTGTGCCAGGCACTATGCTAGTCATTTTACATGCATTATCCAAATTATTTAATTTAAGGCTCACAAAAACTTCTGATTTGGGAATTATTATACTCCCATTTTTCAGATGTGAAAAGTGAGAGTGAAAGAACTGTAGTCAATGTTCAGTTTTCCTCGTTAGTAGAACTGAAGTAGACTACCAGTGGCTTCTCACAGCTGAAGGAACACACTGGACTGTTCTCAGGGCCAGCCTCCACCTTGAACTGCCCTGCCACCTTCTGGGAGGTGGACCCTTGGGTTAGATGTCCCCAGCACCAGGGCCCTTGGCCTCTCTCAGAGAGCCCTACTCTGTCTTTCCACAGGTCCGGGTAGGAGACTGTGCTTCTTCACAGGGAGTCCACTTCTGGTCCTCTGTGGCTTCTGCTTGTCTGTGTGGGGAAAAGCCCACCGGGCCGAGAGTCAGAGGGCCCGGGCTGTGTAGCACCAGAGCTACACAGAAGTGGCTCCTCAGGGCCTCCGTTTTCTCAGGTGAGTCTGAAGGGACTGGATGAGATAGACTCCGGGTCTTTTCTGGTTTAGACATGTTAGTTATATAATTCAGAACAGTGTGGGTAACATGCACATATCTGATTATAATGATGGAAACAGTGAAGGAGAGATGTTATGTTCCAAGGAATAGATCTGTTTCTGCCAACACGTCTGTGAGGGTGGTGAACCTGCCAGTTGAGAAGGTTCCAGAAGGTTCTCAAAAACAGAATTCTCATCTTGTCTTAAAACCAAATCCGCAGTCTCTCTCCCTTCTTTTCCCCCTCCTTTTTTCTCTTTCTTTTCACTCTTCTGTGTTCTTCCCTTTCTTTTCCCCTCCCTCTTTTCTTTCCATTTTAATGCACAAAGGAATATTTTGCTGTCCTAATCACAGTAAAAGATGACGTCTTTTGTGATGCATTTCTCATAACTCATTAAACAAACAGAACTGATGTATTTTCAGGAATAAGGGGAAAACCATAGAAACAATTCAGGGTGGTTTTAAGACCTTTCAATTTTGACTGCTAAATTCCTGGCCCTCAAGACAGGTATTTTTCAATCATGAGGTCCCTGCATAGACTTTTAGGGAACCTTGGAAGTAATGTGCATGTGTGTTTCTCTGGAGAAAGGGGTCTGTGAGAGAAAAGAGCAGCTCTTGGCCTTGGAGGTCAGCCGAGGAGTCTCTCGGAGCTGGCCTGTTGCTGAGAGTTGGGCTGTGGTGTTAGTGACTGAACCCCAACACTAGATGAAATGGATCAAGATAAAAAAGACTGCTCCACAATCATGTTTGATCCGAGAATGAAAACAAGAACACTGTTGAAGCCACAAAAATAACCACACATCCCCCTTTCCTGGCTAATGTGAGTACTGCTTCATCAAGGTGCCCCATTGGAGGATCAGACACCTCCTCTACTTCTTAACAGCATCCAGTCCGGAGCAAAGGCTCCCTGCCTTGAATGTTTCTCAGAATAATTTACCACAAGCCCAAATTCTGTCTTTTCTAATACCCTCTTGCTTGAGGACCCATGGTGTATGTTCTCTGTCTTATGCTTGCAATCAATAAAATTAACTTTGTTCCTGGTCATCTTGCCTGAAGGAAACTGACAAGTCTATAGGTCTCATGACAGTCTGAAAAGGGTCTGAATGTAACTGGAGAAAATCCCAGCCCCCATGCTGATTAGTCCCTCTTTAAATTAATTGCCAGAGACCTCAAGTGAACCTATAATTGACAGGCAATTATATCACCAGCCCTTAGTCCATTCAGTTTCTGTCTCTTCTAGACAACGGTGTTACCTTTGCCACTTTCCCTTATGCTTCCAATCTCTCCCACCTCAGGTGAGGATCTTCCTCGCTGAGGAAGGAACCCCCAGGCTCTCCAGCACCTCTGCCCAGTCCTCTGACTCCCTGCCCACTGCCATGGATCAGGGCTGGGAACACGGTTGCCCAAGGGCTAAATCCAGCCTGCCCTGTCTATGTCTACTGCTTCATGTACTATCTGCAGCAACATCTGTGCCGCAGTGAGACAGTTGTGCAGTTGTAACATAAACCATCTTCCCTCCAAACTCTAAACTGTTTACAGATATTTTAATGCATGGATCTTTATAGATGTTTGGCAACCACTGGAACAGATGAGCGGGGGGTAAAGTTCAGTCCCCTTTTGTATTCCAGATTTCACCTATTCTAACCTCCTCCAGGACATTCCTCTAGCAAGCTTCCTATCTTTCCTTGCAACACCAATCATTTATTCTACTGGATCACCCCTTCCACACATGAATGTGTTATTCCATCTTAGCCTTTTCTTTATTCTGCTTTCCCAACCCTTCTCTTTGCTCCCTTTCATGGTTAAACTTCTTGAAAGAATTGTACTCATTGTCCCCAAATCTTCTCTTTTCCATTCGCTTTAAAGTTCACTCCAGTCAGGCTTGTATTTCATTCTTTCACCTAAAATGCTTTTGTTGAAATCACTGGCATCCAATAGTCACACATCTTCATCTTCATTCAGCAGAATTTGGTATGATTCAATTCTCTTGCTCCTAAAAGCCCACGATTTTTAACCTTGAAGGATACCCCACTCTCTTAGTCTGTCTCCTCACTCAATAGGTCCTCCATCTCTTTTCTCCAACGATTAATCCTGGGATACTCCAAAGGTGTATCCCTGGTTATTTTTTATCCTGCTCAGTGACCTTTTCCAGCCTTCTGGCTTCAATATACCAATGACTTTCAGATTTTTATTTTTGAGCTCAGACCTCTCTCTTGAACTCCAAACTACGCAACTGGTTGCCTCTGGACTCTCACTTGAACGTGTCATAACTCCTTCCTAAAGCACAGCACATCCACACTGAACCGACTCTGCCTCCCTGCAACCTATGCCACCTGCACCTCCATTCTTCCAATTGCTCCAGCTGAAGTTTTGGTATCATCCTGACTCTTCCTCTTATACTTACTTGCAGCAGATCAGAGAACCCAGGTGAATCTTTTAAGATGTATCTACCACTCTGCCCGAAGCACCAGCATGCCTTACCTGGCTCATTGCAATAGCCTCCTAATGGTCTCTTTACTTCTGCTCTTGCCTTATTTCAACATAGCAGTTAGGACAACCCTTTAATAAGGTTGATTGCAGTTTTAAATAGTGAAACTATGCTACTTCTCTGTCCAAAACTTTGCAGCGGTTCCTACTTCCTCTGCACCTGTTTCCCAGCTGCTTTGCTTTCTCTGTGGGACACCAGCATGCCCCTGTTTTAGGCATAGGCCTCAGTCCTCAAGAATGCCTGCAACACTTCCCCTGGCTAGCCACATGGCTCACTCTTTCATAGCCTTCAACGTGTGCTCAAATCTTACCTCTCACTGAAGCCCACCCTGACCTGACTGACCTATTTAAAACTGAAAACCCTCCCCTGACCATTCATATCCTCCCATTAGATTTTATTAACTTTTAACATTCAGGATCAAATCCCTAGTTTTTCTGTTTATTGTTTACTGTGTGTAGTGGTTGATTGTGTCAGCTTGAGAAGTTTAGAAGCTTAATTAAATTGGCTCAACAGTTCTACATCCTAGGGTTTAGAGGACTTGCCCTAGATAGTATAAAGGGGACATGAGAAGGGATGGGCTTGTTCTTTGGAGGAGCTCCACCCAGTCTCCGCCTTCAGCTTGGACGTCATCTCCTGGCTTCTGGCGCCGACTCTGGTTTTTGCCTTGGATTCTTCAGCCTTCTATCCCTGACCCATTGACCGCCTAATACAGACTTGCCTGGAACACTGCTGTGCACTCCAGATCTTGGACTCAAACCTTCCATCTCCAGTGTGCAGATGGCCTTTGTGCTTTCTTCCTTGTCTAACTCCCTGGCTGACCGTCAACGGTAAGCTGATTTTGTTATTTCTTATACATTCGTTTATCTTGCGTTATGTCTGTTTCTCTAGTAAAAGCCTGACTGATATGCTGCATTTCTCCCTAGTTGGAATCTAAGTTTCACAAAGTCCTGGATCTCGGTACCAGTCACTGAGAATGACTTGGCCTACATTTGCCATCAACATGCTTACTGGGTGTTGCTGAATAAGTATCACAGGGCTGGCAAAAGGGACTGAATGACCGTGGTCCACTGAGGAAAAGAGAGTGAGGGTGTTTTCCTCAGATATGGTTCATTGTCATTAACTCCATGTATTTTCTTAGGATGGAATTTTTCAACTATTTGGATGTCAACCTGAGATTTTTGCCCAAAGAGCAATATATAGTTTTTATTTACTTCTTTGCCTTAAATAGACTTACTGTCTGATCAATCAATTTATTTTAAAAGAAAATTTTATATCATGGTGTTGATGTGCTTGTTCAATTTTCCTAACATATATTAAAATAAACATATAGCTGTTAAACATAAAGCTATTGAATCTATAGCCATTAGATTACATATAGAGCTGTTACATGAACATATAGCTATAAAACCTTCATCTGTATTTCCTAGGATGATGCTGAGTGTCTCAGTGGTAATCTGCCTATGCTTTCCTCTCCATCAGAAAGGCCTTCCTGGCCCTCTGGCTCCCCCAAATCCATCTTTCTCCAGGAAGCCCTGGCTGCTCTTCTGGCTTGACTTCTCTGAGTATCCCTCACACTGGCAGACAGAAATGCATAATCCATAATTTAGATGCTTATAAACATTTGGTTTTGTTTTATGCTTCACACCACAAGATTATAAAATAAATTCTTAGAGCTATGGTAAAGAGATGTAAGAGTATTCAACTCTACTATTTTGGAGGCCATCAAAGAGATTAAGAGACTTGTCCCAAATCATTGCCAATTAAGGGGCAAAGCTAAATTTAGAATAGAGCCTTCTGATTCATCGCTTTCAGTGGGAATTCAGACACTTATTAAGGCCCTATCATGTGCTTGGCCTTGTATCAGGCACAGAGGCTAAGGATGAATTAGAGTCAGATTTCAACCACAGAGAGCTTACAGTGGGTGTATTCAGGAAGCCGCACACTATGCAAATGACTTTATATGATGAAGGACATCACTGCAAGGGCATGAATAAGTTGAACTGTGACTCTGAATGGAAGCCAGCCTAGTGTGGAGGGTCACCAAGCCTGACCAAGGAAGTAGACCCAGGAGTCCACTGAGGAGGACCTGCGGAGGTTTTAAATAGTGCCAGACTTGCTTTGGTTCTGGCAACTCGGCTGCTTTAATGAGACCAGGGTGGCTTTTCCTATTTGCCACCATACTCAGGGGGAAGGCAGCCAAGTAGCTCTGAGACTCTCTCATCTCAGCAGTAACTCCAGTGGTTTCCTCTGTTTGCATTCAGCAAGGTGACAGGAGACACTGGCAAGCCTGCCCTGGAGGAGACCTCTGCCCTCTCATTGACAGAATTTGGACATCTTGGACATGTTGGTTATTTTGCCAACGGAGTCCCTACAGTGTACGCTTTGACATTAACAACAAAAAACAAACAACAATAATAACAACAACAAAAATAGTCCTTAGTTCTTGGAAGTGGGAAATGCTAGTGTTACTGTATTTACAAGACACACCACAAAGCCTCATTTAGGCTCATCTAAGCGGTAAAATGTGGATTCTTCAAAAGAAGATGCCTTTCCATCCCCGAGCTACATGCAGGGTTTATCTGTATGTTTCCTTCTGGTTGTGCAGGTTCATCTGTGTCTAGGAGACTCCAGTGACATCTGCTTTTGTCCTAGAAAATTAAACCTAACAAGTAATGCAATGTACAGTGAGCAGCAAAGGGATGTGTTTAGATTCAGAAGGAGCCTGGTGATTTGACCTCTGGTTTTGCCTTTTCCTAGAACTGGAAATTGCTCCTCACTTTTAAGCCTTAATTTCTGCATCTGAAAAATGGGGGTAAAAACAATCCCTGTACTCTGTGAGATTTCTGAAACATTAAATGGGTGTATGTGGAGAACTCTTTTATAAGATCTAAAGGGCTATAAAACACCACTGAAAACTTAAGCTCCTGGTTTGAATACTCTTTTGTAAACTCTGTCGGAGGCTCAAGGAGAGATGAGGCTGGAACCGAAAAGTCTCGACTCCTACTTGGTTTCTTTTTGCTAGGTTGCTGCACTGGAGCCCACTTTCTGGTAGAGCAATTATTGGCAAGAGCAAGTTCCTGGGGAAATGAATCTGTGCTGGGAGGGGGAGCAAGGGAGGAGGGTAGAGAGACCTCCAGTCACCGGGAAGGAGGACAGAGGAAGGGAAGGGGCCAGAGACAAACTCTCCCACCTGCCCAGGGTGCCAGGGCTCTGAGCTTTGGCCTTCTCAGGTCGGAGTTCGTTACTGCTGCCTCCTGCTCGACTCGCGATTTGTCTGTCTTTGTATGCTTGAAGCTGGCCTAGCATAAAGTATCATGCTTTTTAGAGCATTTTGAAAGCAGAATTAAGCTTTAATGATCAGTTTTTGGTTCCTTGGTATTTTCTTTCAAGCAAAGGCCATGTTTTTGTAAGATACTTCATTTCAATGGGGTTATTCTTTTGGTTCCAGAAAACATTCCCGAATGGTAGGCTGTGGGAGGCGTTCCAGCTCATTGCTCCGGTGGCCCATAAACTTGGAGGATCTGTGTCTTCACACCCCCTCAGGACCATGTTACTTTAGAAAGTTACAGCTCTTAAAATTGTCCTTTAATACAAGCAAGTGCTATTAATTCTAAGGAAAGTGAGCTTTCCAAATAAGACCAGCTGTGACTGTTATTTAAAAAAAAAAAAAAAAAAAAAAAAGGGAACAAAAAGAGGAATTTCAACAATAGGAGTCTATAAGTGAAAACTATATGCCACAGAATCTTTTCAGGCATTTTCACAGCCATTTAAAAAGATGTCTTCAGCAAACTCATCTAAATTAGCTAAAAATGCTTGACACGATGAACATGTGACTGAAGGCCAATATTCAATCCACGTTGAGGAATCCAAAGGGTAGATGTACCTACCAAGAAAAAATGAATACATAGGGTTTGTGATGATGGCTACACATGGAGGGAAGCTGCCTTGAAGGTCCCCAGGGGCCCAGCTGCCAACCACACTTCAGGATCAGCTTGGGAAAGGTTCCCAAATCCTCAAATGCTCCTATGACTCAAGGCAGGAACGACATCTACAGCAAGGTCTGTTTTTTTTTTTTTTAAAAACAGGTAATAAGGTGGATATTTAAACTTTTCCTTACAAACAGACCAGTCTGAGAACATACTGAAGGACTAGTGGCGTGACTAAGGGAGGTCGGGAGAGTGGTTAGACTGACCCTTGGTGTCAGCCTTTTAAATGGTGTAGCCTTCCGCTAAGTAAGTGCTCAGCTGTCAGGAGTGTTTTCAGCAGTTCTTTGTTGTGAACTCCTATTATTTCATGTTTTTCATGGCTTATTGGTTAATGGCAGGGTACATAAGAGGTATGTAGGAATGAATTACACTCAGTTTTACAGGGAAGGTCAGAGACGCCACAATATTGATGACTTACTTGAAGCTGAAATTGTGTTTTATCTGGAGGGCTTCTTTACCCATAATTAAATACTGTCTTCCTTTCTCCAGGTCAGCATTAGCACAGGACACCTTTTTAATGAAGGTAATTTCAGAGCCTTTCTCAGCAACAGCATCCCCTGAGAGACATAAAGGAAGACTGTCAAATCGACATCTTAAAGTCACAATATGAACTCAGTCAAGATATCCAGCTCCTCAGGGCAGCTGGAGAGTGGCAATATTCACACTGTTAAGACTTCAGGCTCTGGAACCAGACTGTCTGGGTTAAACCCTAGCTGTGCCACTTCTCGGGGCCTCACCTGTGTAGCTCTGGCAGGATGATTTATGCTTTCTGGATGAGGACTCAGTCCCCTCATCTGAAAATGGGCACAATAATAAAACCTACCTTGTAGAACTGTTATGAGATTAAATGGGTTACTATATGACAATGCTTAGAATACAATAAGAATCATCTTTTTTTTGCTACTACTATTGTAGATGAACAACATTAACCTCTAGATATTATATAGCAAAATCTAAAAGTATTTTGGTAGCTGGAAACAATCAACTTTGTAGATAAGTCCAAGTCCAAAAGACTTGTAGATAAGTAAAAGTTCATGAATGACCTGGAAATTGTTAAGGAAAAAAATTTTGGTTTTCCAAAGGGCTCAGAAGCATCCAAGAAACTGATTTCCATTCCAGGAATGTGTTACTCCTCATGTTGGCCTCTTGAGCTTTACCTGTCTTTAAGCCCCCCTTACATTCTCACAGTATTTAACAAACTTTCCCTATTTACTCTTTCTCAGGAGAGTAAAGGGGGCTGACTGAGTCCAGGGTCTCACACATGCTAGGCCAGGGTTCTACTGCTGAGCTGCACCCTGCCTTCTCCTTTACTTTTTAAAATCTAAATCCCTACTACAGTGTTTTACTCACGTGTCTGTCTCCTCAGATAGACTAGAAACTTCTTGAAGAAATGTGTCAGGCAGATATCCTGTCACAGCAACATCCCACCCACAGGCCCAGTACTGTCTGCCATTTTGATCCTTGTCATAGTAAGCAGTGTGGGAACATGGGGCCTTAGTTTTACTTTTTTGTGCTACTGGGATTGAACCCAAAGGCTTGGAACTGAGCTACATCTCTAGCCTGTTTTTGTTTTTTATTTTGAGACAGGGTCTCACTAAATTGCTAAATTGCTCAGGCTGTGTTTGAACTTGTGATCCCTCTGCCTCAGGTTTCCAGTGTGTTGAGAGTACAGGTATTGCAGCCTTATTATTTTTTCCAACTTTTCATTTTTGTTAGTCCATAGTGCATAATGAACTGGTAATTGTATATAACACATTTTAATTCTTTTCTCATCATTTGCCCATTGTCTCTTTTCTGTCTCCTTCCAACTCTTGGTCCCCTTCCTTTTTGCAAAAGATTAG